GTATTGGACAGGATATATATATGGGTGTGTGCATATATATCTTGCTTTATTTAGTTATTCATTTATATTTTTTCTAGTGCGTATAGGGATTGACCAGGACAGTCATGTTATGAATGAAAAAGAATTTTGATTAGTTATGTCTGTCCTGCAGGTCAGGTTGTCCTAGACACACCCTTACCTCTGAAAAGCCACAAAAATTGCAGGATATCATACATCAAACCAATTGCAGTCTCTTTATCTGAGAGAGCTCAATTTGTAGTAAAAGGCTTTAATCTTTCTCGTTCCACCACAAGGTATCCTTCATCTTTTTATTCATGCCTCATTGATTTTTTCAATACCTCCATTGATTTTGGACCTTTCTAGTTTTTGATGTTTCAGAATTTATAGGATAAGTGGGCAAGTACTAAGTCCTAGTTCATGACAGGTTGCTCTGTGCTCTAGAAGGGAAGTATCTAGCCCAAGAAACTTGTTATGACTTGATGGATAGTGCTGATACAACCGTTGAGCATGATGAGCAACAGTGCCTCAGATTCTCCTGCTCTATACCAAATGTTACTGGCCGAGGATTCATTGAGGTACTGTCATATGCCAAATATATTTTTATATTTCCTTTGAAGTGAGCTTTAGCTATTAGTAGTAAATTTAGGTATGTGTATGATACGTTATATGAATTTTTTTAACAGAGCAAGATCAGTAAAAATAATTGAACTCTACCAGTGATATGTGTCCTTTATTAAAAGTTCTTCAGTCTAGTGATTTGAACTTGTGTTGATATCAGACCTACAGAGGCCATGTGAAGTCCACCGTGTAACCACTAAGCATTCATTTAGTTTTTTCCAGAAGTTGCGTTTGGTTACTCTGAAACTGCTATCCAATTTTGGAAGTTAATTTATTTTCCGGAGCAGTGGAATCTTGGCTCACTATAGGCAATCATCTTTGTTATTTAGCTAATATAAACCTATTCCCTTTCTTATGCAATGTACATCTTGGTTGGCCAATTTTTCACACAATTTTCTTCAGAATCCTTATATAAAATTTTCTTATGAAAACGTCTTCAATTATTACATTCAAAAGGGCATTCAACTGGATTGTGAAAAGAATATACCAAAGACGCTTGAAGTCCTATAAAAAAGAAGCAAGAAAAGAGAAGGATCAGGCTTACAATGAAACTTGAAAGGTTCAAACAGTGCATTAATAGAAGAGTGCGTAAAACTATTTGTTTCAGTTTGTGAAGAATGCATGAAGTCTGTAGTTTTGAATCTTCTGACTTAAATTTTAACCAGGTTGAAGATCATGGTCTCAGCAGCAGCTTCTTTCCATTTATAGTTGCAGAGCAAGAAGTATGTTCAGAGATTTGTATGTTGGAGGGTGCGATTGAGGTGGCTGAAACTGCTGATGACATCCAGAGTGAACCAGAAAAATTGGAAGCCAAGAACCTAGCTATGGACTTTCTACATGAATTGGGTTGGCTTCTTCATAGAAGTCACACTAAGTTTAGACTTGGTCACATGGATCCCAACTTAGATCTTTTTCCTTTTAGACGGTTCAGGTTGCTTATGGAGTTCTCCATGGACCATGATTGGTGTGCTGTAGTGAAGAAACTCTTGGGCATTCTGTTTGAGGGTACTGTTGACGCTGGAGAGCATCCTTCCATTGAGCTTGCATTATTGGATATGAGCCTCCTCCACAGAGCTGTGCGAAGAAAGTGCAGGTCTATGGTGGAACTCTTGTTAAGGTTTGTCCCAGATAAAGGTTTAGATAAAACAGGGTCAGAGCAGAAGCAACAAGTTGACAGGGATGGAAACAATTTCTTATTTAAACCCGATGCAGTTGGGCCCATGGGGTTGACTCCTCTTCATGTTGCAGCCAGTACTGATGGCTGTGAGATCATATTGGACGCCTTAACTGATGATCCTGGAAAGGTAATTTCTCCTTAGTCTACAATGAAGTTTTTATTTATATTTGTATGTAAAAATCACAATGAGTTCGCTACCATCAGATCCTTCCTAGGCATTTGACCTTTTGCTCATACAACTGACTTGTGTCTCTGTTCATTCTCTACCACACATGAAGTTTGATACCTTAAATCGTTCTAGTTTCAAGCATGTTAGGACTGCTGCTAATTGCTAAGAACACTTCTTTACGTTCATTTTAAATTGTAGATTATTAGATAATGCATTCATCATGTTGATATGGGTCTGTCTTCTTTAGGTGGGAATTGAAGCATGGAAATATGCTAGAGACGGTACAGGATTGACACCAAATGATTATGCATGCCTGCGAGGCCGCTACTCCTATCTCCATATTGTCCAGAGGAAAATCAGCAAGAAATTAGAAAGCGGGCAGGTGGTGCTTGATATCCCTGGCACTATCTTAGACAGCATCAGCAAGCAGAAGCAAGCAGATGGACATAAATCCGCAAAAGTAGCCAGCTTGGAGACTGAAAAGATTGAAATAAAAACAATGCAGGGACATTGTAAGTTATGTGAAATGAAACTAGCTTATGGCAACACAAGGTCACTGGTGTACAGGCCGGCAATGCTGTCAATGGTAGCCATTGCTGCTGTCTGTGTTTGTGTAGCCTTGCTCTTTAAAAGCTCGCCTGAAGTTGTTTACGTGTTCCAGCCCTTCAGGTGGGAACTCTTGAAGTATGGCCCAAGCTAAGGCAGTTAATCATGTTAAGTCTGAGTTATTGTCACACCGTGGCTCTAGGCCATTTCTGTTAATCCTATATTTACCTATAACTCTATAGGGAACGTATGTACCGGTTTTCTGTATCCGTTAAGATTTGATGGGAGGTGTACTGTATGTATTAATGGTAGTTCATATAAAGTATGTATAGGGAAAGTTTCGAGTACATACAAGTATTGACTAATTATATAGACATGATGGCATATACTTTATTTGTTTAATTTCTTTTTTAAAATACAACATTGGTTTGCTTAAACCCAATTTATTGGTGCAATTTGATGGTTCTAAATTGTATGAACAGAAACGCCGAACCTTAATTAAATCTATAATGTTTTTAGTTTGGCTTGGGATAAATGATCCCAATATCTTAATTTGGAGAACTTTTCCTATAAAAAATCGAGGGGACTAATTTTCAATGCAGTCCAAATCTAATTTACCAACCAAATAAATAGCCCAATTTCCTGTTTTGTCTCCCTTCAGTGGGGATTGGGAGAGGAATTTGAACACGAGACTTGGAGAGGAATTTGAACACGAGACTTCGAATGGAGAGGATATGTCATCAAACAACTAATGGAGAGGATATGTCATCAAACAACTAAACCGAGTCACTTAGTCAAAGTTGACTCATATTTTCATATAACATTGTTGTCTACTACGATAAGTTAGATACATCTTCCTATATACACAATTATTACGTTGTTTTATGTTTGAACTATTATTTGGTTTTAACTGCAACAATAATAGTTCAATCATTGAGCGACCAAATCTTGATTGTGAATTAATTACAATAAAATAAGTCCAGCTCGCATCCAAATGGAGTACGAGTTTGAAGGATAAAGAAGTCATTTGAGTGCCCCTGCTTCTGAGGCCACTACCTCTCTCCACTGAGACCGCATTTAATACATACCAGTCTTTTCCTAACCTTTTCCTAATTTTCATGTGCTGATTTGTTTTGCCTCGGGGCCCTATATTCTCTCTGCCTCATCCGGCGATCTCACCAGTCTTCATCATCTCTCAGCATCTACCAATTCACCAACTCGTACATATTGCCGGCAAGTTTCTCTCTTTCAGTTGTTCCCCTTTTTATTTCCATAAAGCTTTGTCCTTTAAGTTGTGTAGCTGAAGTTTTCTTTATGAAGTTTAAAGCATTGCTCAAGATGTAATTGAGGGCTAGTGAATTTGGTGTTGTGTATATGACGTTGAGGGATTAAGTGGGTAATTGGTGGATTTTGGGCCCTGGGCAGCTGTTGTTGAGCTCCATGGATATGTTGAGAGAACAATTTCCAGCAATTTATGGGTTTGTTGTGTTGTAGCTGTTAAGTAATTGTTTCTTTGGTAAAATATATAGTTTAATCTCTGAGTTCTTTTTGGTTCCTATTCAATTGGGTATATTTGTATCTGGTGGAGGCATTGTAATATTTCTGGGTTTTTGGTATCTTGATCTATGGAGGCCGAATTTGGAGGCAAGGCTCATAGTTACTATGGTATGAAGGCAGTTGGAAAAAAGAGTTTCGAATGGGATTTGAATGATTGGAAATGGGACGGTGATCTTTTTACTGCTAGTCCCTTGAATTCCGTACCATCTGCTTGTAGGAGTAAGCAGTTGTTTCCGGTTAGGCCAGAAACTCCCTCCAATGCTGGTTTGTCCAACAGTTCTTCTTCTGGATCAGACAATATCAGTCCGGGGAATGAGAAAGGTAAAAGAGAACTGGAGAAACGGAGAAGGGCTGTTTTTGTGGAAAACGAAGTTCATGATGAAGCTGGTTCGCTTAATCTTAATCTTGGTGGGCAAGCTTACCCCATTATGGAAGGAGAGGTACAGACTGGGAAGAAGACAAAGATAGTTGGGACTACTTCAAATTGTGCTGTTTGTCAGGTGGAGGACTGTAAGGCTGATCTTAGCAATGCCAAGGATTACCACCGACGGCATAAGGTATGTGATATGCATTCTAAAGCGAGTACAGCACTGGTGGGAAATGCTATGCAGCGGTTCTGTCAACAGTGTAGCAGGTTAGTTCCATTGTATTGTTATTTCTTGTTTGGTAGAAACATTTCGAAGATTTTCTTGAATTAAGACAAGGTCATTGATTTGTTGCTTTCTAATACACATTCCTTCTAGAAGACGAAATACAGAGTTTGGTTTTGTAAGATTCTTAATATGGGATTGTTATTCTTATGATTTGGGTTCTTGGCTGTTTATTGCGGTGTTAGGTATATTAGAGTTCTGCAGAAATTTTCTTTTGTTGAATTTAATGTAACAGGGTTACACCCATGGACAGGTTTCATGTTCTTCAAGAGTTTGATGAAGGGAAGAGAAGTTGTCGCAGGCGTTTGGCTGGCCATAATAGGAGGAGAAGAAAAACACATCCTGATACTACAGCTAATGGAGGTTCATTAAATGATGAAAGAGGAAGCAGTTATCTATTGATTAGCTTGCTGAGAATACTCTCCAATATGCACTGTAAGCCTTTGTCTTATTTATCGCACATTCAATTGTCTGCTGTTTTACTGAATTGATGTTAATTGGTTACATGATTGATCTTCTGCTTGATGCTATTTCCGGTGTCAAATTTCTGGTGCTGTCATGCTCTTATGTTCATTCACTTTTTATTTTTATTGAGGCTTGTTGGAAAATAGCTTTGTCACTCAACTTTTATTAACTCTACAAAGTCTACATTTAGTTTCTATTGGGAGGCATTTGTATATCAGTTAATGGATCCCAGAAAAAAGAATTGTTGGAAATTTTTTCCACAATCGTATTCTACTAGTGTGTGATTGATTATGTTTCTTTTAGTCCTCTCATTTTATGTGTGTCATTTGTTAGACCTATTTGACTCCACATTTTATGCCTTGTATAAATTGCAGCTAGCAGTTCTGATCAAACAAAAGATCAGGATCTGCTATCTCATCTACTGAGGAGCCTAGCCAATCTTGCTGGTACGGCGGATGGAAGAAACATATCTACATTGCTGCACGGATCTCAAGGTTTATTTAACAGTGGGACATCTGTCCAGACCACAAAGGTGCCAGATATGGATGATGGTGTTAATCTTGAGGATTTAAGGCCTGTAGGACAGTGTTCAGTAGTACCTGCATCAGATATGTTAGAGAGGAGAATATCTTCAGTTGATGATCCTGGAAGTCTGCAAGTTCTTTCAGGTCTACAGGCCACTGAGCCACTACCCTCAAGAGACAGTTCTGAATCAAAATCAGTTACACCGGAAGCTACAAGTAGAAGGTTCCAGTTAAATGGCATTGATTTAAATAATACATATGATGATTCACAGGAATATTTAGAGAACCTAGGGAATTCTCATGTTCCTGCAAGTCCAGGGACTGCATCATGGCTGCAGCGCGATTCCCACAAGTCAAGCCCACCTCAGACAAGTGGGAATTCAGACTTAACTTCTACTCAGTCACCATCAAGTTCCAGTGGAGAGGCTCAGGTATATATCCTTGTTGTAATTACATCTATTCCCTAAGGCTTATAAATGCCTTTTTTGTGGATGATGCTCCGCCCACTGCTCGTAATCATGTGGCTCCGACCTGTTCATCAATTATATTGACCTACAAACTTTGGTCTTTAATTTCATTGTGTTCTCAACTGTACTTTGTCTTTTTGTTATTTCTTTTTCTGAAACAAGGGATTAAGCTGTCAATTGTCATTAACCATTATACAGCATTTAAAGTGGAGCTACATTTTGTATTTGATAGGCCAGTATGTAAAATTTGCCTGCAGTTTTACTTCTCTTAACTGTTCTTTTCCTGCCACATATCAGAGTCGCACAGATCGAATTGTTTTTAAACTCTTCGGAAAAGACCCAAATGATCTTCCATTCATTCTGCGATCACAGGTTTTCATTTTTGCCTTGATTCTTACTCTTTTCAATGTAACCTGGTGTTTCATTCCACATACAGCATGATATACATATTTTATATATTATTTTGAATATCAGATCCTCGACTGGTTATCCCACAGCCCTACAGACATTGAAAGCTACATAAGGCCGGGCTGTATCATCTTGACAATTTACCTTCGTCTAGAAAATTCCACGTGGGAGGAGGTATGCTTCTATTCTGATGCCAGAATTAGGTTACTGATCCTTGTAAAAGGAAGATAATTTCTTCATCTCCCTAGTTGTTATGTTTGGATACAGCTCTGTTGTCATCTGGGTTCCAGTTTGAAAACACTTCTAGACGCTGCCGATGATCCATTTTGGAGAACAGGATGGGTGTATACTAGGGTGCAACACTTTGTAACATTTACGTACAATGGTTTGTACTCTCTCTCTCTCTCTCTCTCTCTCTCTCTCCCCCCCCCCCTCTCCTCCTCCCCTCTCTC